ATATATATATATATATATATATATATATATATATATATATATATATATATATATACATATACATATATATGTATATGTATCCGCGTGGTGTATGCATGAAGCTGTGTATTTATAATATTAAAAAATTTAATATTAACCCTAAACCCTAAACCCTAAACCCTAAACCCCAAACCCTAAACCCTAAACCCTAAATAAAGAAGTCAAAGAGAGAGAATACATGCAGTAATTCTCATTGCTTACGAAAACCCTAAACCCTAAACCCTAAACCCTAAAACCCTAAACATAGGGGGAGTAATCTTTGTTGCGAAACCCTAGACCCTAGACCCTAAACCCTAAACCCTAAACCCTAAACCCTAGACATATCCAAGCCCCATTATACTGCATGCAAATTGCATGCAGATAAAAGCTCATCGCCATCCCCCGCCGAATCCTAAACCCTAAACCCTAAACCCTTAAACTCTAAACCCTAAACCCTAAACCCTAAACTCTAAACCCTAGATAGTTCTAAGAATAGTGAAAACCCTCACAAACCCTAAACCCTAAACCCTAAACCCTTCAGATGGATGCCACAGAGGAAGCACAAGAAGAGGCGGGCCACCTAAGGGCACCTAAGCCAAACCCTCAAACGAAAGGGTTTAGGGTTTAGGGTTTAGGGTCAAGGGTTTAGGGTTTAGGGTCTAGGGTTTAGGGTTTAGGGTTTGAGGTTTGTGTACCCCGCGCACTGAGTAGTTTCTGGCCTAGGGTTTGCAATTTTTGTTTTGTGTGTACTGAGGGTTTAGAGTTTGAGGGTTTAGGGTTTAGGGTTTAGGGTTTAGGGTTTAGGAGTATATTTTGTGGCTAGCTCTGGGGTTTAGGGTTTATAAGTGCGGGTGTATGCGGCAATAAACCCTTTTATTTATTTAATTTATTTTATTTTTTTTTATAAATTAAAGAAATTAAAAAGAAGATTGAGCTGGCAGCTGATGAGGTGTACATACACCCCAGCAACAAGCAGCAGCAGCAGCAGCAGCAGCAGCAGCAGCAGCAGCAGCAGCAGCAGCAGCAGCAGCAGCAGCTCATGCAGAAGTGTATTTTCTTCATAAAAAAAAATTTATATTTGAGTTAATTATATAAATTTAATTTAAATATTCAAGAAACAAAGCAGAAGATCCATGGTTTATGGCCTAGGGTTTAGGGTTTAGGGTTTAGGGTTTAGGGTTTAGGGTTTAGGGTTTAGAGAGGGGCCCACCCGTGCACTGCGGGGCTTGATGGCTCGTTGGGGTGTATACGCAGATCTTTGTTCTTTTTGAGAATAAAATTTATTAATTTTTTTCTTTTTTTTTATTTATTTTATTTGTTGCAGCCACATACTTGGGGTGTATGTGCAGCTTCCTCAGCAGAAGAACAAACCCAAAGCAGCAGCAGCAGCAGCAGCAGCAGCAGCAGCACAGGATTCTATAGCAGCAGCAACTGCTGCAGCTTCAGCAGCTCTGGAGAGAGCAAGAGCTGACTTTGTTGCACCAAGAAGACCAGCAGCAGCAGCAGCAGCAGCAGCAGCAGCAGCAGCAGCAGCAGCAGCAGCAAGACAGCAGCAGCAGCTATACATGTACAAGGGTTTGCTGCTGTAGTTAGCATTCATGTGGCTCCACAGTTGTGTTGCTGGGGGCCTCTTGAAGGTGCTGCAGCAGTAGCAGCAGCAGCAGCAGCAGCAGCAGCAACAGCAGCAGCAGCAGCAACAGCAGCAGCAGCAGCAACAGCAGCAGCAGCAGCAGAACTACACACAGGTGCGCAGCTTGCGCCCATAGAA